GTTGGGCACAATGGTGATGAAGAGTTGCAAGATGTGGGGAGCTATCAAAGACTAGTAGGCCAGCTACTCTATTTAACCATTACACGGCCTGATATTTGTTTTGTTGTGCAAGTTCTTGGCCAATTCATGCAGCACCCCAAACAATCACACTTAACTGCAGCACTTCGAGTGGTTAGGTACATTAAGGGGTCACCTAGACTTGGGATTTTCCTCAAGAAAGGTCCTATCGCCCACCTTTCTGCCTTCTATGATTCAGACTGGGCAGCTTGCCCAAACACCCGAAGATCGATCACTGGATATGTTGTCAAGCTTGGAGATTCCTTATTGTCGTGGAAGTCAAAGAAGCAGCAGACAGTGAGTCGTAGCTCAGCTGAAGCTGAATATAGAAGCCTTGCTGCAATAACAGCTGAAGTTACTTGGCTTGTTGGATTGCTGCAAGAATTGAGTATTGAAATACATCAGCCTGTTGATGTCTATTGTGATAGTAAAGTTGCACTTCAAATAGCAGCAAATCCCATTTTTCATGAACGAACAAAGCACATTGAGATAGATTGTCACTTTGTTCGAGAAAAAATCAAGTCTGGCTTGCTTGCTCCTCATCACATTTCGACCAAACTTCAGTTGGCTGATCTCTTGACAAAGGGACTTGGTGTTGCTCAACATTCCTTCCTTCTTTCCAAGCTTGGAGAGTTCGATGCTTTCCACCCTCCAGCTTGAAGGGGAGTCTTAGCATATGGGGGTTAAAGTGCACAAAATACAAGTAGGAGTGTGCAAGCTAGCAAAAACAAAAAGGTAGTTAATTGACAGTTGTACATATGTTGTCATCTAAGTAGTGGAAAAGTTGTATATACAGCCTTGTATGTAAGAAAACTCAGATTTTAGAATACAATTTCAATTTCTCTTCTTCCTTCTCAATTCTCTCTCACAATCGAACATAAGCCAACCCCGATCAATTTATGTTATGTATTCTTTTGGGGTAAAAAACGAAGCTAAATCAAATACTCCATATATTTTGGCGGAACTCGTCGCTTTACCGGAAAGTTAAATTTTGCTTTAAACGCAACGTCGGAAAAAGAAAAAAAAAACGAAATGGGTATCTAACTTTGTAAATAAACAACACTCAATAGTCTCGCTTCATTCAGTGACCGTCGATAAGATTCCAAAAATACGAAAAAGAAGGCTATCTTATTAAACAATATACTTCACTCAGGCATATTGTTAACGAGTTCGTGCTGACACCTCTACGTGTAAGTTGTAAATTAAGGACCTGATTGTTCATAAAAGAATTTCTTTTCGAAACTCATCTTCAAAATATTATTTGGGTATAAATTGGACTAAATTTTTGAATTTTTCTCAAAGACGAGTTTCAAGTTTGAAAAAGTAGTTTCTACCACTTTTTCAAGTACAAATTTATTTTTCCTCGTAAAATTGGAGTAATATTTTTTAAAGTGAAATGCATGTCCAAATACAATTTCAAATTTTAAATGCCTTTTTTAACTTAGCTCCACATACTAGTTTTTTTTTTTCAAAAATTGCAATTTTTATATGCAAACGCCTACTAAGTATACCATGTAGCAAGATTTTGTATCCATCTGCTTAAATTTTTAAATCCACCTAAGGTTGGCATTGGTTATTTGGTATATCATCTGAGTAATAATTATAGCTCTATTAGGCAAATTAAGTACACATTTTTATGTAATATATGAATTCGGCCTTAGCTTTGAATAGTTTGAATGACTGTCAATATTGCTGAATAGCAAGAAACACAAAAGAAACAATGGAAGGAAAGAGAAGGGCAGTGTAGCATCACGTAGGGGCAGAGTCGTCTTCTTACATAGCGGGGACCAAGACCAGACCTCACTCGCCGTTGCGTTATCAGTTACTTTATCATCTCTCTCTCTCCCGTTGCTGCTCAATTTCATTTCAGAGTACTGCTCCCAACTCTTATTATAACAACCTCCTTCGTTCCATTTTTTCGTTGCATTTTGCAACAACACAATTCCAAATTCCAGAATCATCTAAACTCCATTTATATACATGTTTTTTTAACCATCTCTCTATCTTTCCCATTCACTATCTCTCTTCTGCTTCCACGGCATTTTCTCCATACTTCAGTGTCTTTAATTTCAGCATATACGATAGGTATAAACAAAGCTTTTCATTTTCTCTCTTATTTTCTTCCTTTTATTTCTCACTTCAATCCTCAATCGCCTCAGTAAAACTTCGTCTTTGTACTCTTGCGCATGAATAATATCTCTGACTCTTTCTCGCTGTGTGTAAATGTTTGTATCGGTGTGTGCCTGTGTGCATAGACGGGAAGGGATATATGACAGTTAAGGTTTCTTTCTTTTGATGCTGTAAATATTTTTCCAAGAAACCATCTTGATTCTTTTTCTCGGGAAAGAAAAATGGAGTACTCTAGGATGTTCGATCGAAATTGCAACCATTTTCATGTGTTTATTCTCTTTAGTAAACTAAAATCTCCAAAACAAAACAAAAAGATCACAACTTCTTGTTTTTTGGTCTTGCTTTGATATGAATATGAAAGTTCATGAATCATTTATTAGAGATTTCCGTAAGGTTACAGCCTTTTCTGATTGATCAGCAGCAGTTTAGTCAAAAAGCAGTGGGATTTTTCAACTTTTTATCAGTGCTTGAACTGCTTGTGTATGATGAATATTATATGAATATACAAATATTCAGTTGGCGTATACAGAAGAGCATGAGAGTGTTGAAATGTACGGACACTGAGGGTTAGCGCAGTTCATGTCTGGGTTATTTATCCGTATGAGTGTTTTTGATCTTTTTGCTTTTCAGCCGCTATCTTTAATGCATTACTATTCATGGAACTGATCGTTTCTGGGAAAAAACCCTAATGGCAGCTCAACTCCACTTTTATTTTGATTTCTGTTTTACCCAGATAGTCATTTTCAACTTTTTCAAATTTGACCCCAAAAAATCCAACTTTTTATGCTAATCATTAGCGTTAATCACTCATATTTATATATTCTTTGCTTTATTTGCTTACAGATAATGGCAACAATGGAAACTTACTACAGAAAAAGATCCAAAAAAGCCATTCAAGCCAACCTCGTAAGCTCTCTCTAAACGCTTTTTCTCTCTCTAGATAGGTGCACTACTTCAGGCATGGAGGTGGTTTTTTATCAGATCTGAAAGTCTCCTTTTTCTGTTATGCTATTCTTTGGCTTCATTAAATGTGATTCCTTTACACGCGCCTTTAACATATTGTTATGATCAAATGCACGCGCCACATTAATGGTATTTTTACTTGAGCAGTAGCTTTCAATACTAGTGCGTGCATGTATTGTGTTTTCCTGCAAAAAGACAAAAAGAAATCTGCTTGATAATGATGATGGTGATTGCTAAATAACCCGCATGAGTGGGTCGAAAGAAACACTTATTAGACAAATACTATCAGATTATGCATATGTTAATAGTATAATATTCTAAACTAAATGATCATATCATAGTGTATATATTAAACTCGTGTAGAGTATATTCTGTGACATATATTTGAAGAAGAGAGAGAGAGAGTACGTGCATATATATTGCTAGTCTGAGAGAAAGGATAATGGTGGTAGTGGGTGTTCATCTTTTGTAATACAGCTTTATTTATATATATACGTACAGGAAATGGATTACCTGAAAGGGCAAAAGCAAGGCAGTGTCGCCTGCGCAGACACTCCAGCTTTGGCCAGACATGACAACCAACCTCTTCTGCCCACATCTGATCGCTGTACCCTAAAACGCAATGGTACTCACTCACTCACTCTCTTTCTGCACTAGTTGTACTGTATTTTAACCTCATATGAATCAATTTCTTATACCCCCATTTGGCCATTTGTTTGTGTAGTAGTATCTACATATCTAATACTAAGCTTTTGGGTTTGCAAAAGTAACTATAGTTTCTGGGAAAATGTATTCTTATTATGATCCTTTTCTTTGCTTTTCAGCAGACCATGAAATTCTGCAGAATGCAAAGATGAATATTGAGATGGGTTCTATTTACGAGATTGATCATATGTATTTGCCTCCTAGGACCCCAGTTCAACTCAAGTCCATCCGAGTTGCTATGGTGAGAAAATCCTGATGTTATAGTACAAAAATTATTTTCTGGTTTTAAATTTGAACCTAGACTAATTAAGCGAAATATGTTCTGATTTTTCAGGTGAGCGAGAGAACTGTATTGAATGTGGCAGTGAGGTACCCGAGCATGCAGTCACTACAAACATACTTCAGCAATAGCAAACGAGAGATGTATCCAGCTTTTGATGAGAAGTTCGTAATGGGAACAGCTCTGGCTAGTAAAGTGCTTCTTCGTCAAGTTCCTTCTCAGGAGTTTGCCGAGAAGAAACATCTTCATAGCTTTTGGTTAGTCAACTATACTACTTTGGGCGCTGTTCCTGCTGCAAAGAATGGCATCTGCTTATCTCAGCTCAAGGTCAATGGTATGGTTACTTGGGGAATACGCCGGCAGGTCAAGTTTATGGGGAGACACGAAGACCAAAGCAACAACACCAAGTCTTCTTCCAGTTTCGTTCAAGGAGAAGAAATTCCAAAACTGAAAACACCAGAAAAATCTGAAGAAGAAGATGAAGAGGACGATGATGAGGAAGAAGATGAAATTGATGGTGAATCAGTAAAGCAAGAAGATGAAGAAGCAGAAGAGGACGATGATGAGGAAGCTGTAACAGAAAAGACTAACAAGAATCTAAAGAGAAAGAGGTATAGCTTTAGAGCAACTACAGTAAAGAAAAAGGCAAAGACAACAAGGGGTCCTGAGAAGAAAAATAAGATTAAGAAGAAAAACAAATGCAGGGTTTTGTCAGTATACAAAGACCCCAAAGACCGTTGGTCTGCTGAGAGGTAATTAAATACTTTATATGTATTGCAGTTTCAGAAGGAAACAAAAGACCCCTGAATCATTTCCTTTTTCTAATGTGTTAAGGTACGAGTTGGCGGAGAAAAACTTAATGGAGGTGATGAAGGCAAAGGGAGCAACGGCTAATAACCCTATTATCAGGCCAGAGTTGAGAGCAGAGGCGCGGAAGCGCATTGGAGATACGGGCCTTCTGGATCATCTGCTCAAGCACTTGGCTGGTAAGATTGCACCTGGAGGAACTGAACGTTTTCGCCGTCGTCACAATGCTGAGGGAGCAATGGAGTATTGGCTGGAGAGTGCTGACTTAGTCAACATCAGGAAGGAGGCTGGTGTTAATGATCCTTATTGGATTCCCCCACCTGGTTGGAAGCTTGGAGACTCCCCCATTCAACACCCCATTTGTACTCAGGAATTCAAGCACCTGAAAGATGAGATTTTTGTACTCAAAAGGTTAAGCAGAAAATTCTTCACTAGTTTTTTAATGTGCATATGTCTGTAACAGAAAAAAATTGAAGTAGTTCTATGAATATTATTCATGTGGAGCACTGATGAGTTTTGTTATGTCTGTAATCGTAAACAGAGACTGGGAGGAAATGGCGAGTTCCAAGGAACAGTTGGAAGAAGAAGTTGGAAGACTGAAAAGGTGAATACTGTACTGATGATTACTGTAATTCAAAGTTTTTGTGTTGGTGAAATATAATCTATGATTGTGTTAATATGTTCCTTTTTTTTTTGGTTTGAGCAGAAGGATTGAGGAGCTTGAATTCAAGAAGAAGCAAAGCCAAGCTATTGAGACGGCAAAGACAATGGTAATTTATTAATTTCTAAAAGACATAGTAGTAGTTTGCCATTGAGTTGTTTCAAAGTTATTACTCCGAGATTTATACTTCATGTTCCATTTTTGTGGCAGGAAAAGTACAAGAAGCAATTAATGATGACCACTTCAGATTTTATGGCCAAAATGGAGGTATTCTAATCAATTCACTAAACTTTTTGAATAAATTCTAGTCCTGCGATTTTATTTTAAATTAGTATTGGATATCCCAAAGTCCAAATTGGAGCCATGCTATTGCTTTGCATGTAGCCACATGAATGCTGGGAATTAATTAGAAGCCACTAACACTTTCACCTTGTGCTTCGAGTTACATCTGAGACACCCAACTTATTCATTTCTCTAATCCATCAAACATGCAATATTCCTCCTCTCTGGTTCTCTCTGTTTTTATGAATGTGGGTTGAGGCTAAAGTTTGACTGGTTAGGAAGTAGATGCATATTACTGTAGCATGTACTATGATATGTAATAAATAACTACTGTATGGACTGGTAATTAAAATGGGTGCTCTGGTTATGAATACAGGAAAAGTGTCTGAGCCTAGTGTCTAAACTGGAAGAAAAAGAAAAGTCAATCTCCACATTAATGTTGTCGACAGAAGAAAAGAAAAAGCAAGTGGAACCAGAGAAACAGGGAGTGCAAGAGGTAGTAACAGTGGGAGAAAAGAAGAGATCAAAAGTAGCTGATGATCAGAGCAAGGAGGTAATAGCAGTTGAACCCAAGCTGAAAGCAGCCACAAAAGCACAAAAAACTACTCCAACAGCTGAGGAAAAAGCTGCCAAGATACAAAGACTTAAGAGTGGCTTCAGGATCTGCAAGCCCCAAGGTAGTTTCCTCTGGCCAAACATGGTTCGCAACAACAAGAACAATGGTGGCAACATGTCCAATCAGGTTATGGTCCTGGTTGAAGATGTTCATATGGTCCCAACACCACCTTCAGTCTCTTCTTCCACTGCCATAGCAGCTCCTTCACTGCTGCCTTACTATCAGCATAATAAGCAGCAGAAGCCAGTTTCCCCTGTCAAGCCTGTCCCCGAAAGACGAGCTGTCACTGTTACTGTCTCCACCATCTCTAGTGAAACTCGCTATGAAGCTGGGGATAACAATTACTCTACTAGCAACAAGACAACCACTTTGATCAACTTAAATGATGTCCCTTTTAGCGCTGGTGAAGGATTTCAACAAGCCCCAACATCAAGGCAAACTATAACCACAACTACTGTCATGCCTCATGTGAGTATACCATCTTCTCTCTTCAATGCCTATTGCATTTTAGTGAATTCTTCATGTTGTAGAAAGGACTTAATAACTGATTGCCACTTTCTCTATGTATGTATTCAAGACATTGTCCTCTCCTGTGAATGGAGACAGGATGAGTAAACCATGGCAAGCTTCAAGAGATGACAGGGCTAGCCAGGTGGCCCTGAGTGGGAAGGACTCAGGTCAGCAACAAGCAAGCAAATGCTGCTCTTCTTCAGCCACATCCTTGCCCCAGGGAGCTGCAAGTTGGTTAGTTCTGGCTACTCCAAGCAACACTGACGCCTCAGATGAGTCCATCATTGGATGAGAAATTGGCAACTGGTTCATATTTAGGGGAACTATATAGAGTATAGTATCTAGACTATTATTAGGTCCTTTCGTTTCCAAGCGTATATAAGTTGAAGATTCTGCTTTTTTGGCCTTGTTTTGCTTTTGCTATGGATGCTGTTATTCCAAGGGTATTGGTAGTAATCTGTGTATGGAAGGAAAAATACTCCAGCATTTGATACATCCGGAACCTTTGGAAATCAAATTTCCTGGGAGACTCTAGTACCAAATATTCCCAGTAGATTCAGTAATATATTAATTCACATAATATCTTGCATGATTGAGAAGAAAAAGTCTCCTCGTCTTCCTATTTAGAAGCCACAGCTTACTTTGATGCGATCATGAATCAAACCAGATCGAAACAGTATCAAATCAACAATACAGTGGAAGTGTATTGAATCAAGAACCGACAGTAAACTAAACGCACCTATATCCAACCTCGAATTAAAGTTGCGAGTTCAACTGACACTTGACAAAATGATACTATGATTTATGGCATTAAATTTTTCATTTAAACCAGAAAGTGGCTGAGAACAGATTTTTCATTTAAACCAGCAAGTGGCTGAGAACAGACTTCGTACCCTTCATCAATTGGGTGCCAAAATTATTACTATTGAATTTCATTAACTGCTAGATTTCATAGCCAGATGGGGCAAAAACCATGTAAATAATGCACGACTTCACTTACTGAAGAAGGCATCGTTTTCATTAATTGCGGCTCGTATTTACTGTACGAAAAGAAGACCTGCTCAATTAGTATTGAATGCTAAGAACATTATAAGTCACTCTTGTGCAGATGTCTTCACTTACTGAAGAAGGCATCGTTTTCATTAAAATTCACTCTTCTACAAATGCAAATGAATATAACTAGAGTCTGGCATTCCAGCTTGTGCAGCAGAATCCGATCTCACTGAAGCTGACACATTGAGACAGCGCCGCTATGAGCTTTCTTATATCATCCAATGTGTGAGCTGCACTCAAAGTTATCCTTAACCTGAGGAGAGGAGAGTAGGCAGGAGAGAATTTGAGTTCAGAGAAAATGAGAAAAGAAAGTAAAAATTAACCTATTGCATTTGTAGGATAATATTCTGAAACTGCTTAACAAGTAAAAGCCCAAGATAAGCCACTGTCAGAAAAAACAAATTAAGCAAGGTGCAATTGATGACCGAAAACATCATAAAAGCATGTCAACATTTGAGGACAGCTTCATTCAGAGTTCCTCGATAACAAAGAGGAAATGCAAGAAAACCAACCCAAAATTCTACACCTAGCCAAGTACGAGACGCCCCAACACTATGAATTGCAGACTAAAAAGAAAGTAATGTAATATATAATTATCATGCAGATGAAGATGTGAAAAAATCATCAGCAGTCATCACAACTTCAGAGAGATAGATCAGCGACAAACCTGCATGAGCTAGGAGCCACTGTTGGCGGTCTTATTGCAGTTATGTGAAAGCCAAGTTGCAAAAGATGTCTGTTAAGAAATGAATGAGACAGTTATGAACAAATTAAGAGAGACCGTGCTGGACAAAGAGAGATGGATAGTAAGAAAGGTAACCTGCTAGATTGCAGAGCCGTTGCTTCATTTCACACAATAAGGGAGATGATAGGACTTGTAATGGGGATTCCTGTTAAATCACGGAAACCTTGCACCCTATTCCAAATAGCTCTTCTACGCCACATCTCCTTTTTTGCCACAACAACAGCAGCTACATATGTTACATCATTAACAATGTATAAGTAAGCCACAATAAGCTCGCAGTTCAGAAATCATGTCCAGTCTCCATCCTAACATGGTTCAGTTTTCCAGCTCACACTTATTTTTAATAGGCCACATTTTGTTTGCACTTTTTCCATCTAGGATAAGGAAAAAATTGCCCATAAATATGGGAATGAGAAAGACAACATTTCACGTAAAGTGCCAGATAAGGCTATCCATTTCTTGCAGCCTATCAGTCGATGAAGATGGAACGAAGACCATGAGAGACCAGGGTTCGAATTACACCAGAGACAAAAAAGGGTAATTTCTTCTCTTCTATCTAAGATTTGGCGGGAAGAGTTACTCAGTACTTGTGGAAGGATTAAGGTACGACAAGATAGTTGAGGTGCATGCAAACCGGACAGATACCACCATTATTTAAGTGAAAAAGAAGGAAGGAAAAGGCAGGAAGGAACGGAGGAGAAACTCTCCACTTCTCCGCTAATAGATGAGATCATGAGATACAAAAACAAATACCGTCATCTATAAAATGGCCTCAAATAAGAGCAGTAACTGAATTTTCCATTCTGATAAGTCGATTTACCATGGGCAGCAGCAATTACAGGCACCGGGGTAGAAGTTGAAAATATGAAAGAGCGGCCTCTTGATTGTATCAATTGCTTCCATTTCTTGCTGTTCATTTAGCATTTCAACCCCAAAAAATAGAAGAACTGTAAATAATAACTTCTGATTGAAAATAATGGTCAATATGACTATCTAACATGTACCTAGTAGTCCAATTTTTTTTTATAACCGAGAGATCCCCGAGGCTAGTGTGTCCATAAAGCAATTGTGGCTCACAACAAGCAATTTGACTTTCAAAAAGGTGGGCAGTGTGGCCATAATCAAATTTCTTTCTGTTCAGATAAAGGCGGCTATCATTGGATTGTTCAATATCTATGTGCTGTTGTTTGAGGGAAAAATTCCACATGTAATAGGAATAAAAGCAAATACAGCACACCAGGTATTGCCTTTTGCATGGATAAATATCTTCAACTGAAACTTCACGGATAGAGAACCAGATCTAAACCCAGAGTTTTATGCATGATCCGCACAAATAAACGTAAGCAAAACCAATCTTCTACATAGACTAATTCAAGTTCTCATGAAGCGAGACTGGCACCAAAGTGTTATTCAACTGTCAACCGGTTTCAATGTTGGGACTCTCAGCAGTACATAAAATATTTTGCTCCTAAATGCAAGTCTCAGGTCCATTGAACAAATTAATCAACAGAAGATGAGAACTATAAATCCATGCAGTACTCGACAATGTTAAATCAGAGAGCATATATATCAAGTTTCCTCTGTTCTTTCAATAGTTGNTTATCGCTGTGCATAAATTCCAGCGATTCCGGGAAGTGAAATCAGTCACCGGAACCCTTTTTTCGTGTGACTTTTCAAAGTTGTTTTGCGTCTGCTTTGTCTCGATTAGTGTTGTGCAAAATCCAACACTACCACAAAAGTAGTCACTGTCCGGCGACCAAACCCCAGTGAAAATCTCCGGCGGTAGTGTAGCGGTCGGAAGAAAATTTTCCGGCGAAGTTCTGACGTCGCGTGGGCCACCTTGCGGCCATTTTTTGGCGACGATTCTTCAGGACAGATTGTTCCCCTTGCAATTCCGAGCCTACCCATCCAGGTTACACCAAATTCCGACAACTTTTATACTTTTCCGGCGTGAACAGTGATTCCAGAAGTGGACTTCCGGCCATTTTTTGAAAAAGTTTCTTCAGAACAGTTGGGTCGTCTGGTAATTCCGATCCTACCCCTACTGTTTTTATTTCATTCCGACCACTTTGAATTTTTTCCGGCTGCTACAGTAATATTCCGAGAGCTACAGTATTTCTGGAGTGAACAGTGTTTTCCGGCGCAGAACAGTGTTCTGTTTTCCTGCTGTAAACAGTGTTTTCTCAGCGATTTCTTCCGTTTTCCCAAAGGAGTTACTAATTTTCACTATTTCAAGTTAACCCTACTTGAATTAGGGTTAACCGATACTTCGAATAGTCGGATGGTTTCTTTAGTGGATTATTTTGAGTTTCTTCAATACAAAGCAGGTAAGCAGACATCTTCTGAGATAGTTTCCGTTGTTCAAACAGGTAATAGCATGACTTGTGTCTCTCAATCTTCATCCTCTGAGTCTTGGGTCATTGATTCGGGTGCATCGGATCATATTTCTGGTAACAAATCTCTTTTCACTACTATTTCATATTCTCAATCTCTTCCAAGAGTCACAATGGCCAATGGATCTCAAACCATGGCAACTGCAATAGGTCAAGCAAGCCCAATTTTTTCCTCACCTTTAGATTCAGTTCTTTATGTCTCTAATAGTCCTTTTAACCTCATAGCTGTTAGTCGCCTAGCCAAATCACTTAAATGTGCCGTTTTATTTCTTGATGACCATGTTTTTATACAGGAACGCAGTACAGGGCGGATCATTGGTACCGGGCATGAATGAAATGGACTTTATTACCTTATCCTTGCTAAATCACATGAACTCACATCTTGTCTTCCTTCAACAACTTGTCCTGTTACTGATTCACCAGATTTATTACATAAACAGTTGGGACATCCTAGTTTGTCAAAACTTCAAAAAATGGTACCTGATTTATCTCACTTGTCAGCTCTAGAGTGTGAGTCTTATCAGCTCGGTAAGCATACTCGCTCTCATTTTCCTCGACGTATTGATAATCGAGCAGAGTCACCTTTTACTTTAGTCCATTCAGATGTTTGGGGTCCTAGTCGGGTCAGTTCTACCTTAGGATTCCGCTACTTTGTTAGTTTCATTGATGACTATTCTAGGTGCACTTTGATATTTTTGATAAAAAATCGATCTGAGTTATTTTCTATTTTCCAGACCTTTCACGCTGAAATTCAAAATCAATTTGGGGTTTCTATTCGCACATTTCGTAGTGATAATGCCCGAGAGTATTTGTCTTTCCCATTTCAGCAGTTTATGAAATCTCATGAGATTATTCATCAAACATCTTGTCCGTACACATCTCAACAAAATGGGGTAGCTGAAAGAAAGAATAGACATCTTATTGAAACTGCTCGTACCCTACTCATACAATCTCATTCTCCGTTGCATTTTTTGGGGGGATGCAGTTCTTACATTTTGCTATCTTAAGCTATCTAGAACCAAGTTCCATTCTCTGTTATGTTTCCCCACTTACCTTTGTTCTCTCTTCCACCCCGTATCTTTGGAAGCACTTGTTT